GACCAAGATCCACGGGGCAAGCCCCAAGAGATATGGATATTTTGGGTCCGGGCCGTTAAAAGATTGTTCTGGAGTGCGGGCTGATGCTCCGAGGACTAGGCGAGGACCTGAGGGCACTCCAGTTCGTGCCACAGGGGCGCGGTGGCGGATGTATTTCGCAATAGCATGGGCTCCCATGCCGTCTCCAGCGACTTGAGCTCCGTGGCTCAGGCCTTTTCGTTGGGACGCCCAGGTCAGGCTCAATAATCTTCTCGTGTTACGCTTCTCCCAAATATCTCCACCAGCCCATCCAGAAACGATGCCCAGGCGAAACCCCTTGATCAGGAAAGTGTAAGAGCACGTAGCGAAACACAGATGGGGGAGGCCCCCACTTCTGGAAATTGGAGGAGGGATGAGGAAGAAACGAGGAGGAGGAGGAGAACGGAGTGAGGACGCGAAGGGGGCCGAGGAGGAGGCGGCCGTGGACGGAGATGAGGAGGGGGCGGTGGGAGGACAATGAGGAGGAGGAAAAGGACCGGAGAGGAATGAGACGACAACGATGACGACAACGATGACGGCGACGACGACGACGACGACGGTGTCGGCGGCGGCGGCGGCGACGACGGTGTCGGCGGCGGCGGCGGCGGCGACTACGATGACGATTGCGACAGGAGTGAGTCATCATTATCAAGGCCTTTGCAAGCCTTTCGCTCTGGGAGCCCTTTGGAGTCCTCACGGAGTTATCGTGGATCCGGCTTGGGACTGGTTGGGAGGCCTTTCGAGGGCGTTTGTGGCAATGTTGGAGGCCCCCCCCTAGGGCTCTCTTGGGGTCTTCTCGAGGGTCTCTGGGGCTCATCTTGTGGGCCTCGGGGGCCTCTTGGGTTAAGCTTGGAGGCCATCGGTCAAAGAAGGAGGGAAGAGGTATGATATTTAATCAACGTTCCCTCGTCGGAGCTCTGAAGATCGCTTCTTATGTCCTTCTCGGGACACTCTTGGGGCTATCGTGGGCCTTTCTCGGGGCGCCCTTGATACATATCGGAGCCATCTTGAGGCATCTGAAACCCATCGGAAGCGAAAAAGTGAGAGGGCAAACATCTTTGATGTTCTTCTGGTGCTTGCAGCTGTGTGGCCTCTTTATATAGAGGTTTCTATAGTTTGCCCCTCTCCTACGGCTCGAAGCGTATGTGTCTTACGTATGTTCCTGAGTCTTGCCCCCTTTCTTGGGACTCACATCCTATGTGTCTTGCGCGCGTTTCATATATTGCTCCTTTCCTGGGGCCTGAATCCTATGTGTGTTTACGTATGTTCCTGTAGCTTGCCCCTCTCCTGTGGCTCGGACCTCTTGTGTTTTACGCATGTTCTTATGTATTGCCCCTTTTCTGGCGTTCGAAACCTGTGTCTTTGCGTATGTTCCTACATGTTGCCCTTCTCCTGTGGCTCTTCTAGCCGCTATCAGGGTGCTTTGCTGGGGAAGTTGGCCGTCCGTTGTTGAAGCGATGCCCCAACCTGCGTTAAAGCTGAAGCGCTCGCCAAGCGGAGGCATACTTATAGTTTACAGATGCCCAATGGCCTTCGGCCCATCCCGCCGCCGTGTTTGGGTTGTGGATCAGACGCCTCTCCGATGCTCGTCGGTATCTCGTGGGAGGCGCCTCGGGGGCTTCCTGCTTCTTGGGGGGCATGTCGGGGCCTCTTTTGGGCCTCGTGGGGGCCTCATGGGGACCTCGGTGGGCCTCTTGGGACATCCTTGGGGCCTCTTGGGGGGGGGAAGGCTAGGATTTTCGCTTCGCGTTCCCCCTCTTGGGCTTCGCTTGGGGCCATCTTGGGAGCCTCTTCGGCTGTCTTGGACGCCTCTTAGCCTGTCTTGGGGCCCTCTTGGGACCCTCTGAGACCTCTTCGGCCGTGTTGGAACCTCGGAAGCTTGTACACACGAGACTTAAAAGCACATGCACAACAACCAGGTCATATATGATTTTGGCCTGGTGGAGCCCTCTTGGGAAGACTCTCGGGGCTCTCTTGGGGCGTCTCGGACGGATCTCTTGGCGATTCGGATCCCTTTTCGCTAGTCCCAGGAGGTTCTTGATGACATCTTGCCGAGTTGGGCGGGACAAGACACAGTGGCGATGATAGTGATGACGATGATGACGATGGTGGTGATGATGATGCTGATGATTTTGCTGATGATGAGGATGCTGATGATGCTGATGATGATGTGATGCTGATGATGCTGATGATGACGACGACGATCATGATTGTTCCTGGTGGCGAGTGCCGAAGCACAGCATCGACATGCTACAGGACGAGGCTCTGGCGGGGAGCCGACCACGCCGGCGTGCAGCATCAGCATGGACCTCGCAGTACACTGCGGCGAGTGTTGCTGCACCCCGCCGCGTGCCGCAACACCTGCAAGTGAGACAAGAGCGACCTTTTCCATGCAATGTACGTCCGGGGTTGGACGGATATGATGGCCGCAGGAGCGCATCTCCCTGAAGGTGGGAGTACGATGAAGCACCCCGCACGCAATCAGTGGACCGTCTCCACGATGAAACAGTCCACGAAGACTCCCAGATGGAGCATTCTGCTGATGAACCACTCTGCACTGCAGCTTGCAAAAAAGACAAACTCCACGATGAAACGGTTCCCAATTCCGCGCCCCATAATGAGACATCCCACGAAGGAACACCTGCCGTGAAGCGCACCACACTGAAGCCCCCCCCCAGGAAGGCGGCCTTCTAACTGAAACGCGTTCCGAATAAGGCTGCGACGACGAGGCATTTGACGACGAAGTGCTCTGACGCTCCAGGAAGGCAGCGGCCGTGACGACGCCCCCCACAACGAGGCTCGCAAGACCAGGGGTCACGCGTTGAAGCGCGCTACGACGACACATCCCGAAGTAGCCCCTGCCGTAAATGAGAACCCAACGAAGACCACCTCCATGACGAAGCAACGCTGGATTGAGCCTTCGATTGCCTCCGCGACGAGACCTTGCGCTAAGAAGCGCTCCGTGGGGGGGCAGTGCGCGAAGAGGCGCCCTCCAGGAAGCACAGTGCGACTGCGCGGGTGAACCGCGCAATCTGTGTGATGAGGCATTCCACGACGACCACGTCCGCAATGAAATGTTCAATTGCGGAGCTTTCCACGAAGACGACCACCGCAAGAAAACACACGACGTTGGAATACTCCACAAAGACAGCCGCCGCACTGAAACGCACCACGATGACCACATCCACGATGAAGAACACGCAGAAGAGCAATCCTCAACGAAACGCCCCTCGAAAACGTATCAACCCAACATGCTCGCAAGGAAAATCATAGCAAACATACACATAAATTGCGGTAGATTTTGCGTTCCCCACACACACCATTCCATTTTTCTGTTGATGTGTGGAAAGTGACCACGTTTGTGGAGCTACTAGACCACGAAATAGCCATGCAACGCCGCCGGCATGCTGCCAGGACGAAAGGCACCATGATGAACGAAAATGGATGTGATTTTCAGCAAACGTGCGCCAGGTCGCCAAGTTTAGCTCGTGGCAAGAGGTGGTGCTGCCCAGGCCCAGGGGTGATCAGGGACCCGCACCCCTTGTCTTCGATCAAGAAAGTTTTTTGCCTCTGATGTAAGTCGGCGCCAACACCGGGAACCGATGTCCATATGCCACCCGCCGGGTGGCCTTGCAGTGACGGCAAACCGCCCACAGCACGGACGATAGGAAATCTAGAATGTGCATCGACACTTCGCGGAGGTGGACTCACCACGTACGAGCCACATGCTGCGTGTTGATGCCCGACGTTGGGTTTCCTGGAAGGACGAGAAGAGAAATGCGTAGAGGCGCAAAGGACCCACTTCACCGGCTTTGCAATTTGCGACGGACGTTGGTTCAGGAACTGTGTGATGATGGGGGGCGTGCGCTTAAGCACAACATCGACATGCCGCAAACATGGGTTCTGGAGGAAAGCCGACAACGCTGGCGTGCAGCAGAAGTATGGACCTTGCACCGCCCTGCAGCGAGTGTTGCTGCACCCCGCCGCGTGCCGCAACACCTGCGAGTGAGACAGGAGCGACCTGTCCCAGGCAGTGCAGGCCCTGAGGAATGGACGAGCATGATGGGTGATGCTGATGATGGTGATGATGTTGATGGTGATGATGGCGATGTCGATGGCGATGGCGATGACGATGCGCATAATGAGGACGGCGATTGCATTGGGCCGTCGGATAAAAGGCGGGGGCGTTCGCCAGTGCGGCGATGGCGGGGCGACGCGGACGAACGCCCTTCTCAACATTCTAAGGCTGCGCGTGGCCCTGGCGAGGGAGGGTGGTCGTGGGAACTCGAGTTGGGCGGTGGGCTTCCCGCAATGAGTGTAGTAACACAAGTTCTCCCCCAGTTTGGTCAAACGTGTGGGTTTCGCTAGGGGTTTGAGAAAACACGAGCGATTTCTGGAACGATTTCTGCGGTGTCCCATGGTTTCCCAAATAGTTCGCTGTTCTTCTCCCAGAGTGCGTTCGATGGCAACCTGGCATGCGGCGCCCGTGCGACGCGTCGCGAAAACCCTGGAGGAGCTCGTTCGGCGGTCGTCCAGGGTCCGCCCGCATGCGGTGCCCGTGTCCGCGACCGCGAACCCCCGAGGCATTCGGCCAGGGGTCGTCCGGGGGGCTGGCCCGTTCATTTAGCAATTCGCGTGAGGCGCTTGTGCGAACGGCTTCGGCACGGGGTCCCAGAAACTCGTCGAGGGTTGGCCCGCTCTGGCGCCCTATGCGAACTGGCGCGAACCCCCCGATGCGTTCGGCCAGGGGGCGTCCGAGGGGGTTTGGCCCGTCCAATTCACGATTTGCTCGGGGCGCCTATGCACATGGTGCCGAAACGAGGTCCCGCGACCTCGCCGGGGGCTGGCCTTCTGGCAGCATTTTGCATAGGGCGCCAATGCAAACGGCCTCCAGACCCCATTCTCGCTCAAACGCGCGACTTTGGACCCTGTTTGGGGGGGATTCACGGGCAATCGCACCACGCGCCTAGACACCCGAAAAGGGGTCGGCGGATCTCATGGTACAAGAGTGGGCGGTCGTCAGTACAAACAGTGGAATCTTGGCCGAAGACTGTCAGGCTCATAGAGGGGGAGGAGAAATCCAACTTGGTAGGCGTCGAGGACAAACGGATAATCGAGGAGGCTGTGGCGAGCCAGGAGGTGACGATGGCGAAGCCCATGCAGCTCGTGAGCGGGCAACCGAAGGAGGCCGCCAAGGGCCTGTACCACATGATGCGCGTCAAGGACCCGTTCGCGGACGATTCTGCGGCCCGTATCGAGCAGGAGGTCGATTCGTTCGTGAAGGATTTGAAGGAGTCCGCGGTTGTCTTGGCGTTGTTGGAGGCGAAGCAGGGCGATGCGGATGAGGTGCGGCGAATCGAGAATTTCTACGGCGGCGAGGAGGCCATCTCGCGGGCGAAGGGGGACATCGAGTATTTCGGCAAGGTGGCGGGGATGTCAGATGGTGCCACCGGTCTTCAGATTGTGGAGCGGGTGGAGGCGGAGACAGCGGGAAATTCTTGACGTTTCGCGTATCCCCACCAGCCCATCCAGAAACGACGCCCATGATAGCTGACGGGGGGAGAGAGGAAACGACACGCATAGTCAAACAGCAAGGGAGCCAGCCGGCCGAAGAGGCGCGCATAGTCAAACAGCGAGGGAATGCTGATTCTCCTGGGCAGGCTCCTTGGACATCTTGCGCCGTCTTGGCGCGGTCTTGGGGTCTCTTGGGACATCTTGGGGGCCATCTTGAGCCAGCTTTGACTATCTTGAGCCATCTTGGAGTTCATCTTGGGCTCTCTGAGGCCGCTTGGGGGCCACTCGGGAGCCTCTTGGGGGCCTTTCGGGGGCCTCTTGGAGCCCTCTTGGGGCCTCTTGGGGCGCTCGTGGGACCCTCTTGGGGTCCTCTTGGGAGCCCTGGAGGGCCTCTTGGGGCCATCTTGGAGGCGGTCGGTCAAACGAGGGGGGTCCTCGATGCTCCTCCCCCCCTCGGGGGCCACGATCCTCGTGAGGGGTGTCAAAACATGGCCCTCCCACAGGCCGACAAAGGAGCCTCCGACATCTCGCGACACCTCCCAACAAAAACCTCAGGGAGTGGAGGGGGAGGGTTCCCCTCCCCGAAGGGAAGAGGGGCTGTGGAAGAGGAAAGAGACCCTACTTAGACCACCTGTCGCCCAAAGGGCTGGTGGGATTTGCGCTATATCTTGAGGGAGAAGGCGTCGGAAGTCTACGTGGAGGGCCCCAACGCCTTTCGGGACAAGGGCCGCGGCCCTGTGGACCTGCAGCATTTCCTTGGGCACAGGAACGTGAAGGCCGCCGAGCTTGCCGTGCCGCACGTGGTGGCATTGAGGCTCTACACGACCACGGCTTTTAAGTATTTGAATTCGCCGCTCAGGAGCAGGGATCAGTACTACAACAAGTTCAGGTCGCACCCCCTGCCAGCTACGATGGCTTTCGTATCTGAGGGCATCAAGAAACTGCGCACGGCCTACGCGATTGACGTCGAGGAGGGCTCGAAGAAGTCCCAGCTGACCCTCTGGCGCGGCCTGAAAAATATGAAGATTTCCGAGGATTTCCTTGCAGACCGCCAGGGCGGCACCGAGCTTGCGCCCATGTCCACTACGTCCAACCTCGAAGTGGCCGCGAAGTACGCCAGCAGCGGTGAGTCGGTGCTGCTGAAGATCTCGCTGGACAACTTCATGCAGTTCGGGGCAGACCTCGAGTGGCTCTCGGCCTTTCCAGGGGAGGCGGAAGTACTCTACCCGCCGCTAACGTACTTGCAGCCCACAGGCAGAGAGCCGCAGGTGGTTGAGCTGAAGAGCGGGCACAAGTTCACCGTGTACGAGGTCAAGCCCACCATCCCTTGAAGCTTCGTGGAGCATCGCCCACGGTTTTCCTCTTTTTCCTCCGTCGCGTCCCCGATCGAGAGCAGCTTGGGGGGAGGGTCCTCCGTCTGTGCTGCTCCCGACTGGGGCTTCTCTTGGCCTGGCAGCTCCAGCGCACCAGGCAACCTGTGTGCTTTTCCCTCTGAGCCGCTCGAGGACAGCGGATAGAAGGCTCACCGCTCCCTCGCGCCAGGAGAGCCGGCAGGGTGCAATCCCTGCTCGCCAGTGCTTTTCCTCCACCCCCTCGGCAGTGGCATTTGTCTGCAATGGATTGCTATTGTTCAAGTCGGGCGTGTCTCTCTACAGAAGGACTATAATGAACAGCGAAAACATAGTCGGGGTACGACGTTTCTGAATATTTGTGACAATTTTTGAATATAGAAACAAGTGGCACGTGTGTGCCCGGGCTCATACAAAAAAGCTGAAAGGGCGTTTGGAGCAGGCGAAAATGGCCAGACCACCATGGGGCAGGGCATCTCGGGATCCAGAGTTGCGAGGATGTCTCAGGCGGAAGTGGCTGGACCTCCTTATTCCAGGGCACCTCGGAGCCCAGAGTTGCGAGGATGTGTCACACGAAGGTGGCAGGACCCTCCTGGTGGCACCGCCGAGGTCAGAGTTGCGAGGGCATCTTAGGATGTTGCCACACCTTGCGATGTGCGTACCAGGGGCCGCCAGGAAGCCTGGGGCCCCAGGAGGCCCCGGGCGGCAGGCGGCCTCGGGAGGCCCCGGGAGACCCCAGGAGGCTCCAGGAGGCCCCAGGAGGCTCCAGGAGGCTCCAAGAGGTTCCAGGAGGCCGCAGGAGGCCCCATGAAGTCCCAAGAGGTTCCAGGAGGCCCCCAGGAGGCTCGGAGGCGGGGTCTGGGGTACCTGAAGGTACGTCGGGGCTCGATTTTGGGAGGATGTCTCATGCGAAACCTCCATTCTCTGAGAATCGGGTTCAGAATCTTTGAACTTACAATGTGTTTTTGAAGGTTTTATGTTAGACTGTTGAAATTCCCATGTGTTTTTGACCCTGACGCCACGATCTGTGTGAGGGGTGCCACCGATTTTCATAATTTCGAGGATGTCCCTAATTAGCGAAACGGCCAGAAACATCGCAGACGCCGCCTTCAATTCATCGGCTCTGAGCTCTACTCCCTCGGAGAGGTGCGTATGATAAACTATATATATATATATATATAAATAGCTATGTGGACTATGCTTGTTGTTTCGTCGAAAATCCGCCTGTAGGGGGACATGCCCGACCTAATGCTATTGGTTGGTGGGCTTCAATTGCATGGCATCCCGGGCTGTTTGCTCATTCAGCTTGCGTCGGTCTGGTGTTTGAGAAGTGGCTGCTACAGTGCTGAGGCTCCATGCTCGGAGAACAAGAGGATGGCACGCGTGCGTCATTTCGTCCTGTCAGTGCCCCGTTCGCGAAGCCACGACATGACGAGCGATCGTCTGTTTGCTCTCTGCTTCGTGAGGTGCTACCTTCGTTTGGACCTGTTCCTCTGAGTGGAGTGCGGTAAGTCTTGAGGCATCAACTTGGACGCTTCGCGTCTGGCCCATTTCCAGTTCCATTTCCATTTCCTTCATCCTCCCATGACCAAGCGGAACATACATACCGACATTTTCCGAGAATCAGTGCTTCCGAACCACTCGCGATGAAGACGGCGTCAATTACATATCGATAACGAAGTTGAGCACGAGTATGAACACTATGAAAGAGACTGTGGAACGAACACCATTTCGGATTATGCAGGGGGAAGCGCATTTATAGATAGAGCGAGAGAGAGAGAGAGGGAGCGAGGGAGAGGGGGAGAGAGAGAGACAGAGAGAGAAAGAGGGATATATTAAGCGGTCGAGGGAGAGAGAGAGAGAGAGAGAGAGACACATACATAGAAATATACGCATGTATCTATACACATCTATACATACAGAGAGAGAGAGAGAGAGAGAGAAAGGCAGCGAGAGAAACGAATTTCCAACGTCATACGATCGCAACTTGGAGGCGATGTAACCAGACACGAGACGGTACGGAAATGGCAATTCACAGGATATGTCAGGGATCGGGGACGAGCGGAGAATTCTGAATATTTTCCACGAGCGATCGCCACCTCTTCGTCCTCTGCCGCCTGCCATCCATCGTCCAAGTGGCTCGTGGACTGTCAATGTGTATGCTGGAGGTGCGTTTAGGCATTCTCAGGGCATCTTTGCGCAGTCAGTGTCACATTGTGATTTCGAACGCCATGCTGCTACGATGCGTATGCATTTTCGCAATTTGCAGCTTGGTCGCCACACAAGGGGACCGACGCTTGCTTTCACGAGAATCGCATCAACCTGTGAACCTCTAGCCATAGAGCACGGGCGTCTCGTGGTGTCCATTTCTCTGCATCCAACGTGGGGTTCTTGCTTTCTCTGGACACCCTCCGCGCAGGAACCTCCCTCCCACTCTCCGCCTCAGTCGCGCATTCGCCCCGTCTGCGGTCATCATCACCATCGGTCACCATCATCATCACCACCATCATCATCATACTCAGTCACTCACCATCGATCACCACCACCATCGGCCATCGATCATTATCATCGTAAGCACCACCACCACCGCCATCATCATCATACTCAGTCGCACATCGCACACACTCCCTCTCATCACTCAGCATCATTCTCGTGAGGCCTGACTGGGGGAAGTGTCAGGCTGGAGGCTCGTCTGTGAGTGAATTGCGAGGAAGTCTCAGGCGGGAGCCCTCTCCCCACGGGGCCCGCACTTCATGTTTCTAATCCGGGCGAGTCGTCCTCGAACTTGTATCTGTCGTCGCTTTTGGGCTCATGAGGCCTGAATCTGGGGGAGGTATCAGGGGGGAGGCTCGTCTGTGAGTGAATTGCGAGGAAGTCTCAGGCGGGAGCCCTCTCTTGATGGTGCTCCCGCTCAATGTTTTTAATCCGAGTGGGTCATCCTCGAACCTGTATCTGTCGTCCCTTTTGCGTTCTTGAGGCCTGACTATGGGGGAAGTGTCAGGCTGGAGCCTCGTCTGTGAGTGAATTGCGAGGAAGTCTCAGGCGGGAGCTCTCCCCTTATGGGGCCCGCGCTTCATGTTTCCAATCCGAGCGGGTCGTCCTCGAACCTGTAACTGTCATTATTTTTGGGCTCCTGAGGTTTGACTATGGGGGAAGTATCAGGTGGGAGCCTCGTTTGTGAGTGAATTGCGAGGAAGTCTCAGGCGGGAACCTTCTCCCTATTGTGCCCGCTTTTCATGTTTTTAATCCGAGCGGGGTCATCCTCGAACCTGTATCTGTCGTCACTTTTGTGCTACTGAGGCCTGACTGTGGGGGAAGTATCAGGCGGGAGGCTCGTCTGTGAGTAAGTTGTGAGGAAGTCTCAGACGGGAGCCCCTTCCCTATGGGGCCCGCCCGACATTGAAGGTTATTTGCAGATTAGCCGAAGGGATTTTCATGTGGCGTCTTTCCGTCAGCGTGATTTGTGATGTTTTTTTTGCGCCTTCAATGTTATTCATATTCAATTGAGCGCTGGGGGGGGGCAGACGCTGCCGCTTCACGCTTTTGGAACGTCGTCGATAACAGGTGGCGCGGTGTGAACCCCGCGAGTAGACTTCGGGAGTCTTGGTGGAGAGAGAAGAGAGCAACCTGAACTGCAGAGGGTGTGACAGGGGTGCCATGTGGCCCACGAGGGCCTTAATAGCCCGCCCCAACGCGGTCCAGGAGAGCCCCACGAGGCCCCGAAAACGGCCCCAAATGGGCACGCAGACATGCCGAACGCTGTGGACGGAGGTAGGAATGGGGGAGTCGGAAGGGGTAACACCGGCATTGACATTTTTGTGCCCTCAGGGGTCCTCCTTGGCCCCCCTGGGCGCGTCCAAGAAGGCTGAACTCAAGAGGGCGCCAAGAGGACGTCCAGACGGCCCAAGATGGCGCCAAGAAGCCTTCAGGGCGGCCCAAGAGGCCTTCACGATCATTCCAAGGTGGCCAGAGAGGCCCCAATGAGTTTCACAAGAGGCTCCAAGAGAGGCTACAAGAAGGGCACAGACGCCAGAGACGGCCAACGTGGTTTGCATCCTTGGGGCTTTTGCCAGTTCTAGGTTCCTGGGTCTTGGCTCAGCACTATTCCAGTATTGCTTTACATTTGTCCCAGACGGCCCAAGAGGGCCCCTACAGCCGGCCAAATCAGCTCAAGGGGCTCTGGAGAGGTCTGAGACGAGGTCCTGCAGCGTCTGTTAGTTCGCGCGCGAAGGCAGTCTTCCGCTGGGGGGCAATGTGGTGGCCTTCGCATCTTGGGGGCCTGTGGGGGGCTGTCATGGTATTTTCGCAAGATGCACAGGCTTACATTCACCACCAGGGCTTGAACGCCTGCCGCAACTGATCAAGTGTAGTGGCGGACATGACCACGGTTGTGGTGTTGCTGGTGGGGTTGATGGTCTGATGCTGATGGTCTTGGCGGTGACCTTGCTTGCGATGGTGCCGCGTTGGGGCTTTCTGTGCTCCCCCGAGGGGGCGACGTCGACCCGACCGTCGTGTACTGCAATGACTCCCTGGGGAGCGTGCGCGCCCTTCTGGTCTCCAAGCCGAGCCGGGCAGTGCTCCTTCGGAGGGTGCGCAGTCCGTCCGGTGGTAAGTCCGCACGGGGTGCTCGGTATCCGTCGTGTCCTGCTGCGTCTGGGCTTAGCCGCTCCCGACAGGATGCCAAGTCCGTGCGGAGTGAGAACGCTCGGGGTGCTTGGCCTCCGCCCGGGCTTGTTCCGTTTGGAGTTCACCTCTCATGACTCTCGTTCCGCCCGTTTCTGCTTCTGTGGCCACGCCGTGCAGGCCGTCCCTCTGCTGATGCCATTCCTGATCCGGTCCTGCTGCCTTCTCCCGCCTCCGCCTTCTCCTCCTGCTCCTCGTGCTCCTGCTCCTCGTGCTCCTCCTCCTTCCTGCTCCTGCTCCTGCTCCTGGTCGTCGTCGTCGTCGTCGTCGTTGTCCTGCTCCTCTTGCCCTTTCCTCCC